AGCTGTGGGGGGGTAGAGGTAGGGGTTAGGGTTAGGATAGGAGCTGTGGGGGGTAGAGGTACGGGTTAGGGTTAGGATAGGAGATGCTCTTTGAAGAGGGGGGTCTTCAAGAGTTTCTACAGGAACGCGAGGCAATAAAATCCCAGAAAGGGGGAGAGCACTCTGCTTTTAAACAGAAAGCATAATCACATGGATTTGTGAGTCCTTTTTTCTCTTACCATTACATAGAATTCCCCATTTTTCTGTGCAAAGAGCCACATTTTGTAAAACGGTTCCCCTGTAGTTCTGCTTTGTGCCACTAGAGGGCTCTACAGCGCAGAGAGCAAATGAGAAAAAGCCTGACGTCTAATTTACCTGCACTCCTCTCTTTTAATCTCCGTAATCAGTGATGGTTTCATTTTGATATATTATTTTTCTAGTTTTCTTTATCCTTATTTTCTGATTTTAAACTCTAAAACCAGTCATTTAGCTTCATGGGGAGTGTTTTTTCTGAAGGTGAGTGATGATAAAAATGTGACTCGGCCATGTTTTTGGGTTTTACACGAGGCTCAGAGGGGGCTTTCCTCATCGCGTGTCCCCTCAGAAAAAGACAAAGTTGTCCAGCTACATACAGAAAAAAAACAGAAGGTTTGGACCATGAAGCTGTTAAAGTGAGCTCTTCATGTGGACGTCACACCTCTTAGCAGAAGCAGAAACAGGACAAAGCAGAAATCTTAATCCACACGTATCATAAGGGCTCTGAGAGGGTGATAGGCTGGTCTCAAAGTAGCTGAGACCCAAATGAGACGTGTTCCTGGGCTGGTTTGAGGTGGCTTTTACCTCCAGCTGTTCCAAAAAAGCGGCTGCTGGTTCACCGGGATGAAATCTGAGTCCCGGCAGAGGGAGGGAAAAAGGCAGAGAGACCACAGAGAGGAAGAGCAGAGGAAAGTGAGCAGAAAGGGAAGAGGAGAAACAGGAAGTGTCCAGAATGAAAGGAGGACTAAATGTTTTAAGGGGAATAAAGCGACCAGAGACAAGTGCAGGCCTATTTGTGAGGTTCAAACTGGTTTAAGACGAGTGGATACAGTTTACTTTTAGATTAATCTAACTTTCTGTTTCTCTCTGTTACGAACTTTGTATCAAGGTTTGAGGAGAAAAACGAGTTTGTGCTCAGGTCAGAATGAGGCCAAAACGCTAAGAGCTAAAGTATCTGCTAAAGAAACCTGGAAACGGGTTTCTGTGAGCTGGGATTTTACCATTTTTTAGGTCCTACATAACGTTATAGAAAGGGTAAATTAGAGTTTCTTTACTCTAGTTGTTAAGTTCTAAAGATGGGACCATTCAGAAACTGAAAAAGGGTTTTTAAAGGATCAGTCGGCCTGATGGCTCCCTGATATGAGGCTGTAAAAACTACATCTAGCTGACTTTTAAAAGCATTTTCTTGTGCTACAAAGCAACGATTTGTTTAATTTGTTTGAAGGGTAGCTGGGTTTTGGGGTTAGCATTTAAGAAGATCTCTTCTCATTTAGAAAGAAAGTGGTGAAATAAGAATATGATTGAATTAAAGCAAATCAATCAAATTTCAAAGGTAGGGTTCTTAACCAGCAGTGTACCTGCACACGGCCAATAACGCCCAGTCATTTCCCCACTTCCATTCCCCAAATCAGGCCCTAAATGCTCTTTATTAGAGTCTCTGTGACCCAGGGTGTAAACTCTGGTCCTCTGGTTTTAGACGTTTCAGTCTGCTGATGGTGCATGGATCTGAAACAGGTGTTTTGAATCAGGGAAACATCTCCAACCTGCAGGGCAGCGGCCCAAAGATGACCAGAGACTGAGATCCCTGCAGAGCTCTGAGGACCAGGTCCACAT